CACAGAGATTCAAAAATAATTTATGGCACTTAGACTTTTTTTTGACATTCATTAATAATGCTTTGACTGACCATGTAACATCAGTGGAGTAATTTTATCTGATTTCACAGATAAATTCTATCTGCATTTTGCCTACTTAAAGGTCTCAGTTTTCAGAATTTTTTTTTGTCATAGCCAAACCAAACCAAACCAAACAAACAAAAAACCCAAAACTTGTGCCTAAACCTTCTTTATTTATCCTTTAAACCTGAAGAGAGGGTGAAGATAATCTATGGATGGAGGAGGGGCCTCATGCATTTCAGAGAAGGACTTATGAATGTATGCTTGTGTTGTCTTTCTCCTAACTTTAGTGAATAGTTTCTATCATCTTCATCCTCTTACACAATCATGCACTTTAACACTTATTTGGAAAATTTGTATGCTTTAGACCCCCAATTTTCACTCAGTCACTTGTGTTTGTAAAACTCATCATTCATTCTTGTGCACACATACATATGAACACACACACACACACACACACACACACACACACACACACACACACACACAGCCTACACAGGCCATGCCATTGGCAGATGTCTCTATAGGTTTATCTAAATGTAGTTAAATTAACTATAGAAACCCCAAGAAAGTGATACCATTATTAATATTGATACCTTAAGGGAGAATTTTGTTGCTATTTCAGAATTGACCTCCTAGAGAGCCAACTTAAACACTGCTTACAAATGGCGGTAGTGTTGCATATATTCAATGTCTGACATCAGAAATGAGACAATGTTGCTCATTCTCTTCATTCTCTCCTCTTGCTCCTACCAAATGTCTAAGTAACCAAGTCTTTGGTATGTATCAGAAGAGCACTGGATTTTCAGAGTGAAGTCAAAGGAAAAGTATGCAGATGGCAGTGTAAATGTTAGGAAAGTTTGAGGGGAAATATGCCAGCTATGCGCTGTTTTCTTAGAATAACTATAGATCCACCGTGGTGATGCCACAGGCTCTTGCCAAGTGGAATACCCTATTTATAACCCTATCAAGCAGAGGAAATGGTGCCAGGAACAAGATAAAACTATTAGCCGCATTTTCAAAGATACTTAAAAGCATGTTTGTATTTTAAAATAAATTTTGGTGGTTAGGAACAAGACTTGGGTAGTCATAGATCTGGGTGTTGAAACGTGTTGCGAGAGCATTCATTAGTCCCCTCCTTATCTCTGCTGCCATGTCTCTGCCAGATAGCTTGTTTGAAGTCATAAATGGAGCTTGTAAATGGACTCTTTGGGAGATACCTAGAAAATAAACAATTCCCCCTCTTTGGTAAATAGTTAAGAGATCTCCATGGACTCGCATGCCTTCCCCCTATTGGCACTGTTGTCTCACTGCTCATCTGGCACCTCCTCCCCATCTGTCTTGTTTCTGGCAGTCTTTCCAATATCAAGCATTTAAGCTGCAGTCCTAGAGGCAAAGAGAAAATAGACTGAATCCAAGAGAATGCCTTGAGCTTATGAACTGTGGTCACAAGGGTGTCACACTCAGGGGTCTTGGCACCAGCCTACATGTGGCTACATCGGGATATGTGCTATGAGTTGACACTGCAGATCACTGCCTCCTACCCTGTACCCCAAGGGACAGTGTGTTGAATAAGCAGGAGACCAAAAAATGGTAGCGTTGGACCGAGTGTAAGGTTCCTTAGCCTTTCTAACTCCATCACTGAGAAGGTGCATGTTCTGTAATGCCTTCAGCTACTAGGATAGGTTAAGCCCAGAGATGCAATGTCTTCTTCTCCCTGTATTTCCTTCATTTCTCTTCTCCACCAACCTACTTATCTGACTTAGAAGAGCACAAAGGATATGATTTTTTATGTTTTATTTCATGTGTATGTGTGTTTTGACTGAATGTATGAATGTTCACCGTGTGTACATGAAGTGCTTGCAACAATCAGATCCTCTGGCACAGGAGTTATCAGGCACCATGTGGGCATTGGGAATCAAACCCAGGTCATCTGGAAGAGCAGCTGGTGTTCTTAACCTCTGAGACATCTCTCTAGCCCCAAGGCTATGTGATTATTAAGTTAGAAACAACCAGATTTATCTACGGCTCTTTTGCTAGCTCTGTGTTTCTAAAGGCTCTGTTGCTTTTCCAAAGATGAAAACTATTTTACAGGTTTGTTAGGTCTAGAAGCAGCTACTTGAAAGATGCCCTATACAGTTTCTAAAGAAATGGCAATCAACAAATGTTCATTTTCCAGTACTGAAGCTGCTCTATTACATAACGTACAGTCCATTTTATCAGCTGTCCTAGACAACATATCACTGTATTTTTATGTATTTATTCTTTCTTTCATTTATGTATTTAGGGAACACATGTGTATGTAGTACATGTGTGCATGGTGCATATGAGTGTGCAGGTGTATATTCCAATGCATGTACATGGGGAGGCTAGAGCGGAATGCTGAGGATCTTTCTCTATTCCTCTCTGCCTTATGCCTTGAGACAGTATCACTTAATTGAACCAGGCACTTGCAATTTCAGCCAAGGTGGCTGGATAGCAGGCTCTCAGAATCCATCTACCTCCACCCCTAAAGTTGAGGTTATATCTGTCCATGCAAAGGTTTAGATATGGGTGCTTGGAATTTGAACTGAAGTCTTTACACTTTAGGGAAAGTACTCTTACCTACTCAGTTACCTCCCTATCTACTCAACTCAGATAATATTTTTTTTACTTTAACATAGGATACTGTCCAATGAATATTGTTTAGTACAATAATACTGTATGCTAATATATGACAATTTTATGAACAGATAGGTATAATTATTTGTGATATAATTGTCGTTATATATCATAAAGTATATACTGTGTTAAGCTGGATATCTCACTATATTAGATAATGCTGCATTCTTGTATGATATGCTATAGTTATTACAAACTATTTATATTATGTCATGCAGCATGTTTATGCATTATATTCACATATAGTCTTCAATTTATGTTTCTATAAGTTATATATTTGTGTATGTTTATCATTTCATTTCAGTGCACAAATTAAGACAAATGGTGTCACAATAATTATGGCTAGAAAATTATATAAACTTTAAGGAATATATATAAATTATAAATATAAATCAACCATGAAGTTGCTAAAAGTAGCCTATATTTAACAGGGCTCTGTTTCTGTATGCTGTTCAAAATATGTTTACATTGATAAACTATTTAGATAGCAGTGTAAACATACTTAATAAATGTAATTATTTAATAGTTTTCAGTGTATGACTGCCATAATTCTCATGGTCAAGGATTTTCACAGAGGAGATAGTATCATGGAAGAGCCAAGTGTTGTGGGATGAGAAGACCTTCAGTTCACACTGCCAGGAGAGTGAACTTGGGCATGCCCTTACTTCTGATTCCCTGTCCACTTACTCTCGTGAAAAGGAGGAGAGGGGAAGACCTACAGATATAAGTGGAAATAACTTTAAAAGCATGGGCAACACTCTTGCTTAGCCCATAACCTCGAGTGCCAGGTGCCAGTGTCCCCAGTCTTGTTGGGGTTGTGAGTAGAAAAGAGTCACGGCTGTTGCTTTTGGCTGGTGTTTTAGCTGAGCATCCAAGATGCAAATGCAGCTGGCTACTGAGTTCTGTTTTGCTCAGGCCTCACGTGGAGGGCAGGGTTGGTTGTCCTCGCCTTTCTAGTGGTTGGAGAACAGTCAAACTGATATCCCTTGTGGGGTAAGATCTTGGGGACAAATATTTCTTGTATTTCAAGGTTTCTTAAATTTCACATGTGATTTAAAAAAGCAAATAAGCCCCTTAATTGCTTCGTTAAGCTAGTCAACACTAATTAAGGAGAGTCAAGTGGAAAAATATTAGAACCTGCTGTGCGCTGCTTTCGGTCTCCTCCCCTGCCCCCGGAATGTGTGTTTTGCTTTCCGAGGGATGGGAGTTGGTGATTTTTCCTTGATAGGACCACTCTGACCTCCTGGGTTCTGAGCTTGAAATTGAGCTACAGTCTTGTGGGGTTAGACCCCATTTATAACTGGTAAAATATGATTTCCATCCCCATGAAGAAATGCCTGACATGCCTTGTAAAGCAGAGCAGGGGGTGAGCAGAGCTGTTTTGATGCGATAGAATTCAACAAGATTGAGCATCCGTTTCTTCTCAAGCACGGGAGCTTAAGAACAGTGGAGAGGTGGTCAGGAAGGGGAGAGCTCCTGGTGAAGTCAGGAGCCCTGCATGAGCCTATGTGCATGCATCTGCCAGTGTGTGCCAATTTGTATCTGGGTGCCCACATGCACTTGTATGGAGAGGCATGTCAGGAGGGTCTACCAAACTTCTGCTCTTCTTCAAACTCTGAAGCCCATGGCTTCTCTCATCTCTGCTGGAGCTTTTCAAAAACAAGTTCCTCTGCTGCTTCTGCGGCTTCTTATCCCAGTACTCTCCAGAGGCAGAGGCAGGGGATCAGGAGGTCAAGGTTAGCCTTGACTACATAGGAAGTTTAAAACCAGGCTGAGCTACATGAGAACCTGAGGTGGGGGGGAGAGAGAGAGAGGGGAGAGAGAGGGGAGGAGAGAAGCAGGGCAGAGGAAGAGGGAGGAAAGGAAAACAAAGGGGAGGTAAAAGAGGAAGGATTCTGTTAAGAGATTTCCTGACACACTTTCCCTGAAACGAAAGAGACCATCCTTTAGAATCCTTCGGGTGCAGAGACAATGATGAAGTAGTTCCAACAACCTGCGTCAATGCTTGTTACCATAGCAAAGAGCTTCTGTGTAAAGGGTACTCACTCCACAACACATTCTGCCCGGCTGTTTTGCAAATAAGTTCACACTTAATTCTGATGACTCCTCAGGTGTCCCATTATTTAGTGCCCCTGTTTAGTTGGTAAGATATCAGGGCAAAGAGAGTGAATGAAATGACCTTCTGGTCCCAGAGCTGGGAATGAAGGGATTGGAACCTAACCCCCCCCCCCGAGGCTGAACCACTGTGACATCATCACTCTGCTGTTCAAAACACTCTATCATCATGATCCTCTAAGCCAGCCTAGTCCTTCTCAGTTCCCAACGAGAGACCCCCCCCCCAGTTCCTCTCTGTCTGCATACACTTGCATACATTCTGTCCAGCATGCAAGTATCTCCCGTATCTCCCATGTGGGCTTCCCCTATAGCACCGGAACTTCAGCATACACACCTGGAACTTGGCAGGGGGACTTGCATTGCTTAAAGGGATCTGCCAAAGAACAGAAAGTATGGAAGTCCATGATTGACTTCTGCTATGGAGACCAGACCTGAGTTATTTAAGCTTATGTATAGGTGTCATCCCCTTCAAGCATGAGATCTCATGGAAGGTGGTCTCATTCACTGTGGACGTGTAGATAGGACAAGAGCCTTGCCTTGACTCTAACATTCTCAACATAAGTAGAACCGTAAGACAACAGAACTACTGCTATAAGACTCTACCCATGATGGGTATTTAGGTGCCTGTCATACAGTTGACTCTTCGATATTTCAGATACAGCCCAAGCTTCTCAGCGCTAAGGACCAGTAGGTAAGAATTATTCTAAATTCTGCCCATGGCTCTTGCATCCAAATTGATAGCTCCTCTTGAACCTGTCAAGTTAACAACTGCAGAAAAGGGTTGTGGAGCCTGTAGTTTTGATGCATCAAACATGTTCGTCCTCTTCACAAAACAAATTGCCTCTGGCTAGGAACTGGGCAAAGATAACTGAAGGCACAAAGTGTGCACAATTGAAAAGGACAGCTTTGTGCAAATGCTAACTTTCATTAAAACAATCGAGTGAAAGAACAAACAAACTTCCCGTATTTCTTTCCATTTCTCAGTGTTCTCAAGATCCACAGAAACTGATTGTAATCCTAAAATTTTATCAGGTAATTATCAAATAATTCTCATAAAGAAAACGAATGAGGCTCGTGGGATCGTTTCTCCAGAATATTTTTAAAGAGAGTGAAACAAGGATTTCATGAGAGCAAATGTTTTCTGCTATCTCTGTGGAGGCCACTGTGGCTAAAACACCAATGCCTCAAAAGCCAGGGGCTAGAAGTCAGAGTCGAGGGGGAGGAACATATGATGCTTGAGAGATAGGAGCATGCAGCATATGGGAACCTAAGAAAATGGTTGTGAGGCTATCGCTATCTGAAGATGTAGCCTAGAAAGCAATCTAGGCAACATCTAGCAAAAGAGAACCAGAGTGAGAGGAGTTTTCAGTAGAGGTGTGGTCCCAGGGAACCTCTGACGTTGAATAAGTAGGAGTTTTCATTATGAGAAAAAACACAAATGAGTATCTCAGCCCAATGGACAAGATCAGAAGTGAGATGGAAGTAGGGTTACCTGGGGAGGGACATGTTTCTCATCTCACTGTGGCGAAAGTGATTATAATCTAACCACACTACCTTGTCACTAGTCTAGCCACTGGTTCATAAGAGGAGCACATAAAAGCCTGAGCACCAATGAGCCTTTTAAGTGAGGTAAATGGAGGTTCCTGAATACCTGTGCCTTGAGTATGGCTACTCTGTGCCTTGCACACCTAGTCGTCCTGTAAGTTCAGAGGAGTGGGTCCCTGAACTGCCATCTATCCAGATCCTTTCCATGGATGCTCTTTTAAAAGAATGATCTTCTTCTGCTCTCAGAGGTCTGTGAGCCAATGGAAGAAAAAACTTACATGAAGCTATTTAATAGCTGGAATGAAAAATTCAATTTTAGGTACAAGAGTTCCAGAGCAGGCAGAAAAAGCCCATAGGATCCTCATCCATCACAGATGTTTCATATTCTGAGTAAAAATAAAAAGGTTACCATATACTAACCTGAACCATGGTCCTGAAAATGTCCCCAGATAACATCCTTGCCCCACACTCATGCATCCACACCTGAAGTCTTCAGAAGGCCATGGTTCTTCTCATGTCTTTCCTTCTCTCCTTTATTTCCACAACATGTCCGCTAGGGATCAACTCACACCTTGGATTTCCACACCTCAGTGCCTTACCCCAAACCTTTCTTAGCCCAGAATGCTCCCTCTTCTTCAGTCTTCACCCCACTCATTAAATGATAATCTAACTTTCTTGTTATCATTCATGATCATCTTAGCATGTAGTGACTTTGGATGGCTCTAATATCTGAACCTTGCATTGAATTCCCATTATTGAGTATTGTTTTCTAAGAAGTCCCCTGCATAAAGGTCGAATTTGCATTAAAATATATACAAGACACCCCATCCCTGCCTGTCTTTCAGATCAGCCATTGTTCTGTTAGGTGAGACTACAAGCTTTGGCTATGGGTTGTCTCTGAATTACTGCCTCTTGCCCTGTACCCCAAGGAACAGTGTGTTGGGTAATCAAGAGACAAAAATGGTGGTAGGATTAGATCCAGTGTGGGGTTCCTTAACCTTTCCAGTTCCATCACTGAGAAGTTGCATATTTCATAATGCCTTCAACTACAAGGACAGGACAAGACCCAGGACACAATGTCTTCTTCTCTGTGTTTCCTCCATTTCTCTTCTCTATCGATCTAACTACCTCACATGGTAGAATACAAAGGATTTCTTTTTGTGTGTGTGGATTTTTTAAATGTGTGTGTGTTTGGTATGAATGTATGTATGTACACGACATGTCAAAGAGGAGGCATGATTTTCAGAAAGATTGGATAGGAAAGACTGGAAAGTCCATGTCTTCTCAATGGCAACTCAGGATGTTATCTATGAATCTTCTTTTAATTTGAACATAAGCGTGTCAATTAGAAATACAAACCCAGTGAAAAATCACATTTCCAGAGAAATGATAAAATGAGTCAGGGTCCTCATGATGTTTTCTCAGCTCTGAGTCTTGTGGCACATCTCTTTTTTTTTTCCCAGCACTCACTGCTACACAAGCCCTGAATGGCAGGGAGAGACTAAGGCTGGGTGAAGCTCACTCTAATGAGGCACAGAAGACCCTCCCTGGGGGGAAAAGGAGGATACCCCCTGGACGCCAACCTTTCAATTCCCTCCTGTGTTTCTTTTCTGCCTCCTCCTTCACTTCAAGTCACATTCTGGGATGTGAATGTGCTTAGGGGCAGGGAAGGCTGTAATCCCCAGGGCCTTCACCATAAACTTCATTTCCTCCTCTTATTGCAGTTAACTGCCCATGAACTCTATTAATATTTTGCAAATTGAGATCTCGGAAACATATGTTACTGTTAATTTTAACCTCATGCTAACTAGGATGTGGTCAAAATTTCACAACAAATTCCAAGGGTATTTTGATATGCCTTGGAAAATGCATTTAAAGGTGGCTCTGGGAGATATTTATGTGTATATATTTTTTTTCTCTGAATCCATATACTTCCTTTCTTAGAGGCAGGCAGAAGTAAATTGTTCAACAGGAGAGTCAAACATAAGGTGAGTCAGTAATGGTGCAGGCTGTAGAAAGAAACATTCTTCCAGAGCAAAGACAAAGGATAAAGATCTGCTGATGATTACATGGTGTTACATACGGTATTGTTTTTCTTAAATGCAGCTCTCTTCCTTTAAAACAGTGGTTCAAAACCAGTGTGTGAGCCATGACCTTTTTTGTTGTCGAATGACCCTTCCACAGGGGTTGTCAAAGACCATCAGAAAACACAAATATTTACATTATAATTGATAACAATAGCAAAATTACAGTTATGAAGTAGCAGCTAAAACAATTTTATGGTTGGAGGTCACCACAACATGAGGAACTGTATTAAAGGGTCACAGACTTAGGAAGGTTGAAAACAACTGATTTAAAGAGCTTTAGATTTTTAGGAATTTATGAGGAAAGTAGATTTCAGTACTTCCAGACATATCATTCTGAAATAACCAAAAGTACAACTTCCAAATGTTCTGATTATTCAAATGAAGAAAGTGTTTCTCACTCCCTCCCTTTCTTGTCCTCCTTCCCTCTCCTGCTCCTCTTATTTCTTATTCTATCACTTCTCTTCCCTTGACTTCCTTTATTTTTTCATTTTAAATGTCATCCACTCAACAAGTATTATTTTCACATGCCAAGAATTACTCTAGCCATTGTGGACTGAAGAGTAAACATCTCTCCGAAAAAGATGAATCACCGGAGGTCCTTACCATATCTCATGTAACAGCCTCTGAGGTAGGTAGGTCCTCTGTCCACATGGATGTTAAATATATTTTAAAGCTCACATTTCAAAGTCAAAATTTCAGAAATGTTTCCAGCTATACAAAATGGAAGCGTGTGCCTTCTAATAAATATTGAGACCATTTACTCTTCTGTTTGTCAAGATTTCTGTTTTCCCAGAGAGCTCACCATGTTCTTTCAATCAGGACTTTGAGCTGAGGTCAAATCCTGGTTACCCAAATAAGGAAATGGCATGGAATAATGATGTACTTTCCTCTGTGCAACTAATTCTAAGACAGATAAAGGAAAATAGGACCATTGGAGAGAGGCCATCTCTATTCCCATATATCTTACTCTTCCTCAGTGCCCAAGACCTAAGATTTGGGGCTTGCTTTCCTATACCTTCTTAATCTTTTGGACTCTACCTTCTCTCCTCAGCCAAGTCACCCCTTGACTCCAAGTACTATTTTTAGTGGTAATACTTTTAGTGTCAAAGTTCCAATCCTTTCAATACATTTAGTAAGCACTTAACTAGTTGCATTGTAGGGCATCTCCAGACAAAAATGGAATAAGTTAAGATATAAACCAGAAAACGACAACAAAAAAATTATAGCTACATTTGAAAGGCAATGATGAACATGTCACATTTTTAAATCAAATACTGTACAAAGACAATGTTAATCCAAGTTAGCCCGTGTTAAAAAAAAAAATAGAATCAATTGTAGGAATTTCCAAACTATTTTACTTCACAAGTCATTTTCAAAAATATAGAACACCTCAAGTTACCTGTGACTAGACTGTAGCAATCATTATCAGTTTTAGAGGCCATGATTAAAAAAAAAATACCTGACCTAAGCAGCTATGAAAGCAGGGATTCTTTTGTCTCACAGTTTGAGGGTCCACAGTGTATCATGGCAAGAAGGTATGGTAGCAAACGTGCCTCTCACTGTGGTCACAGAAGCATGGTCACATGGCTTCACTAGTCAGGAAGTGGAAAGGTGCATTCTCTTCTCAGCTAATTCTCTTCTTTTTCCTCAGTCTGTTTTCACAATCTTTGCATAGTACTGCCTGCACTCAGGTTGGGTCTTCTTCCCTCAGTTAAACCTCCTTTGAAACACCATCACAGACTCTCCCAGAGGCGTGTCTCTTGCTTGATTCTAATTCAGTCAAACTGGCTATGAGGATGAGCCATCCCAGAACTAAAAATGAGAAACTGTGAAAAACATCTTCTATGGAAATAACTATGGTTATTCTTTCTGTTGTTTTTTTGAGTCAGGGTCTCATGCCCTGACTAGCCAGGAGCTTTCTATACCCCATACTGGCATCTAACTTATAGGAACCCAAGAGTTTGCATCACTGTACCTGACTATGTATAGTTTTTGGAATCAGTTTACTTTGCTTTTGCTTTGCTATTCAGTGAGTATCCCATGTTATGAAGCCTCAGAT